CAGAGGCAGGTACTTCATGCCAAGTAACATTCACTGGCGCCAAGGGGGGGAAATGGACATCCAAAATAACCCAGTATTGGCTTGACAATTTTACAAGCATGAAATCTGGATAGTCATCTTCAGGTTCCCAGGGCAGCTCTTTTGCATAAGATTTCTTATTATAGCCACTTTACCAATATTTAGAAATGATGGATTTAAAAAAAGAAGAAGCATAGACCAACTATTACTCTGAGCTTTGCAAAAGAGCAGTATACAACCCCACAGAGGAAACTTTGTTCATGGTATGTGTCTTATTAAACAAATAATTCTGTAGCTTCACTGAATGGTAGGCCCTCTTAAAGAGATTTCTTGCCATCATTCTTACACTTACCTAACTCATTATAAAGGCTGGGACCAGGGAGCAATTTCAGGCATCCCCAGAGCCAGCGTGGTGTAGTGGTTAAGAGCAGCAGACTCCAGTCTGGAGAACCAGGTTTCATTCCCCACTCCTCCTCTACATGAAACCTGCTGGATGACCTTGGACCAGTCACAGTTCTCTCAGAACTCTCTCAGGCCCACCTACCTCACAGGGTGCCTGTTGTGCGGAGAAGAAGGGAAGAACATTGTAAGCTGCTTTGTGACTCTTTAAAGTAGACAAAAGCAGGTTATGAAAACCAACACTACTGCTTCTTTTCACTTCAACACCCTTATCTCCAGTGAGCCAGTTTGGTGTAGTGGTTAAGAGCGCAGACTCTAATCTGGGAGAACTGGGTTTGATTCCCCATTCCTCCACATGCAGCTAATGGTGTGACCTTGGGTCAGTTACAACTTCTTTCAGAGCTGTTATCCCAAGCGCAGTTCTTGAGAGAGCTCTCTTAGCCCCCCCCCCACCTCACAGGATGTCTGTTGTGGGGAGGGGGAGGGGAAGGGATTGTAAACCACTCTAAGACTCCTTTGGGTAGTGAAGGGTGGGGTATATTTAAACCCAATCACCTCCTCCTCCTTCTTCCATACCATATTACAAACAGCTTTCAAGAGAACTTGGCTACATGAGGTTGTTGTTGGTGGAACAGTAGTTTGGAGAACACAAGTCCAAAGCCCCTTGGGCACACCAAACTAGTGTCATTCTTTGGATCCTGCCTGAGGTAGGTTAACGTCTCCTTGATACTTAATGAGCTGGGAAGTGCTACCATCTCGTTTCTATAAGATGGGAACAATGGCACAGATAAATTAAGGGATTCAGCACATCTTATCAGATTTTGAAGATGGGGTTAAAACAGAAAATATGGAGCTCCTGGCCTCCCGGCAAAGGCACTGGAGGTCGGGGGGCTGTTTTGCAGCAACAGATTCATAACGCTGTGCGTCATGACGTGGGCGGGGGCGAACATAAGAACATAAGAGACGCCAATGTTGGATCAGGCCAAAGGCCCATCCAGTCCAACACTCTGTATCACACAGTGGCCAGAAATACCAGTGCCATCAGGAGGTCCACCAGTGGGGCCAGGACATTAGAAGCCCTCCCACTGTTGACCCCTTCAAGCACCAAGATGACAGAGCATCACTTGCCCCAGAGTCCCTATCTATACCTTGTGGTTAATAGCCACTGATGGACCTCTGCTCCATATGCTTATCTAATTCACTTTTGAAGCCGTCCATGCTTGTAGCCGCCACCACTTCCTGTGGCAGTGAATTCCATGTGTTAATCAGTCTTTGGGTGAAGAAGTACTTCCTTTTATCCGTTCTAACCTGACCGCTCAGCAATTTCATGGAGTGCCCACGAGTTCTTGTATTGTGAGAAAGGGAGAAAAGTACCTCTTTCTCTACCTGCTCTTTCCCATGCATAATCTTATAAACCTCAATCATGTCTCTCCTCAGTCATCATTTCTCCAAGCTAAAGAGCCCTAAGCGCTTTAACCTTTCCTCATAGGGAAAGTGTTCCAACCCTTTTATCACTCGAGTTGCCCTTTTCTGCACTTTTTCCAAAGCTATAATATCCTTTTTAAGGTGTGGTGACCAGAACTGCACACAGTATTCCAAATGAGGTCGCACCATTGATTTATATAGGGGCATTATGATGCTCGCCCACCCTCCCGCCCTGTTCTTAGTGTAGGCTGTTGCTGGTCACCTATTGGGGCCAGGTAGGAATCTTTCTCCTCTACCCAGGATTGGCTGAAAGGGTAGAGGTATTTTTGTCTACCTTGCACGGAGAGCAGTGGATGACTAGTTGATGTGGTGGTCGATATCTAAATAGGTTGGTCACTTGGCAAGTTTATGCGGGCAAGAAATCAGAACTGGTGAGCACCTTATGGCATTTTCCCATTAGGGAACAGGGGGTTATCAGGAACTGCCTTCAGATTTTAGGGTCCAGGGTGGGGATCGGTGATCACCTCTGGGAACCTCTTAGGGTAAGGCTCCTCTCTGCAAGTTGGAAGGCTTCAGGGGTAGGCGCTCCCAGGTGGCAACCAGTTTTGCTGGCTGCGGGTCGTGAGCCAGACAGCTGGCTCAAGACCGGAGCTGGGTGACCCACCCGTGAAAAGGGCAAGGAGGTTGGTCATGGAGTGACGCATGCCTTACCTGTTCTGTGCTCGCTTAGCTGGTCCCTTGCCACAACGTTATGTTAAATTGTTAATAAAGGGGCCCTTGTTTACTTCCAAACTGTTGTCTGTCTCGTTATTCCGACTGGGGGGGGGGCAATTGAATGGCTATAAGTACATCCATCAAAGTATTCACAAGGCATGTTCAATTTACCAAAATCTGTCTTGTTGACGTCATGTAGCTGGATGAATCAGCCTTAAATGAGTCTCTTGAGCTTCAGTTGGGATCCTGTCACATCAGAGAATAGATTCTAATTTCTAATTTAATGATTTTACCTGACCATCTTTAATTTCAGGCCACAGAACAGATGCATTGCTTCAAGGAGCTTGAAGTGGTCAACAACTTAAAAGTTTATTGTGCGGCAGCTCTGCGCACAGTCCTCTTGTGGCCTCCAGCCATGTCAGTATGTCAGGCATTACCAGTTGCCCTATGTCTCTGTATTCACAGCTGCTGTGAGAGCATGGTGATACTAGCCTCATTTGCTAGCAAAGGATTGCAGATGACCACATCTCCATGCTTTTAGAACTGCCGTGTTCTAAACTTTCAAGTGACTCCTGTGTGGTTAGTGACCATCTGAATTAATGCTTTGAATGCATTTGACATTGCTCTGAAACTAAGATTTTTGAAATGTCAGATGAACTTGTTTAAGCAAAAAAAACCCCCAAAACGAGTAATCCTCTATTCTTCTTTGACTCATATGGGTGTCAGATAGAGCTCTGTGTGTGTGTGTGTGTGTGTGTGTGTGTGTGTGTGTGTGTGTGTGTGTTAGCAACTGGGCGAGGACTACTTCCCACAGAACTATTTTAGTTCATGGGTATGCACTTATTCCTGTGAATAAAATTATAAACCTGGGAAGGATTTAAGCTCTGTTTATTCATGAACCAGACATGAGTATGGCAACATTCCAGAATGATCTCATGAAAAGACCAAGAGGATACCTTCTAAGTAGCTTCCTGTTTATTTAGTATATTTCTTCCCCTCCTTCCTCTAAAAACACTGACCAAAGAGAAGCTACCATTTATAACAACAAAAAACCTTAAAACATTAAGATTAAAATGTGGCACCTTTATGCCTTGCAGAAGTACTTCAGTGAACAGTATGATCAAGTAGCCTGATCTGCCTGCCTGGTTATTTTGTAGCTATGCATGGAGTTTGTCACTCTGCAACCCCTTCCTTCCTTTCCTTCAAATCTTCTACATCCTTCCTGAGTAAAGTGACAGAGGCAGAGTGTCCAGGAGCTGGTGTATGGATCCCCCTGCCCAAGCACCCATTTTTACATACACTAAGAGGTGATAACAAAACACATAATCTTCAACCTGGCTGGAGTACCCAACACTAATGATGCCAAATGGCTAAGCCAAGTATCTCTGGTCCTCCTGCAGACTGTGATATGGCCAGGGTCTACCAGCTCTACTCATTTTGCCATCTCAAATAATTAGAGCACAGCATGGGAGGAGGCTTGTCTCCTCTTGAGGTTCCCATGCAGTCCCCCAACTCCAAAAGAATGCAGAGATGTTCTGCAGTAAACTGGGCAGCTTGGGAAGGAGTGTCATGCCCTCTCCTGTGGTGTTCCTGCTGATTGCGCATTGTGGCCTCTTGGGTGGTGAACTGGTCCTGGATAGGGCGTAAAAACATTGATTTTGCATCCCTGAACAAAGTCACTGTACAGTAAGCATCTGTTTTATATTCATGCTTCCGAAAGTAATTAAACTGCCAACAAATTGGCTGGAGGGGGGATCTCTTCAGCTTTAAAATATGTGCATTTAAGAGTATGGTTCCAGTGGCTGCAAAGTACCTGAGCTTTGTTGGTTTTATTTTCAGATTGGGGGGGTTGGGATTAGGGTGGAGAGCAAAAATCTCTTACTTTTGGACCACTGAATGATGGCAAATATGTGCTGGGGTCTCACAAGACTGGTCAAGTAAGCCATCTGGATGGAATAATGAAATGTCTGAGTTACAACAAGAGCTGTAACATCAACACTTCAAATGGATACACGATTCTTCACCCTTTAGACTGATGATGTTTTATTTAGCATTTTGTCATGTCACAGTTCATATAACAGTAAGGGACGGACAGACATTGGGTTGGATCCTGTGGATCCATTCTGCTTGTAGTGACACTTTTCTACAGTGTAAGGAGTCTTCCCCTGATGCAAGAGACTCAAAGAGGAAGGCACCACTGCTAGCAGAAGAGATCCATGTGATTCAATCCAGTATCAAATGAGTATGGGATACATACCAAATATCAAGTAAATGCCAAATAAGGATTACATGACAATGTATGAAAGCAGTAATTTCCTCCCTCATAAGTTAGCATTCTAGTTTGTTTTGAATTAAAAAAATGATATATGCTTGACCTTTGAATATTTTTGACTCCCAGCACTAGTTATTTCAGATTTTATAGTCCATCTTTCAAATAATTTCAGAATGCTCAAGAGGCGCATGGAGTGGCTGTTCCAACACCATCAGTGCCAGAAGGCTTTGAAGAGAAAGCAGCTCTAGGTAAGATGCTGTTTTTAATTGGGTCACCCAAGACTTTGTATTTGCATGTGATTCATTACAGCTTGCTACTGCCTTATCTCAAACTTCTATCTTTTGTACTACAAGCTTCTTTCAACACCACTGTAGCTTCTTTGAAGCATCAGCTCAATCACATATACTATAAATGCACTGTTGCAGTGGTTGGTATCAGTGTTCCCTCTAAGCTGAGTTAGTGTGAACTAGCTCACAGTTTTTTAGCCTCCAGCTCACACATTTTTGTCTTAGCTCAGGAAGGATGGCTCCAGAGCAAACTAGTTTATGCAGTAGTCAAATCGCTTGCTCACAGCTTTAATGCTAGTAGCTCACAAAGTAGAATTTTTGCTCACAAGACTTCACAGCTTAGATGGAGCATTGGTTGGTATATCCCATCCATACCATTTATTTCATGGCTAAGGAAGTCTGATGATAGGACTATCTCTCCTTATATATAAAGCTGTTTTGGTCGTGGACTCTTGAGCACGCTCCCGAATCATTTGGCCCGCTGGTGTGTTGCTCAAACGGCGTATCTACCCACTGGCTGCGTGGCTGCCTGTGTTGCCGTTGTCCCGCCCACTGGAGCGCTGCCCAGCGTCTTGGCCTCAGTATGCTCACAGCCAGCACCCAGCCCAAATGCTCCAGTGGGCAGCTGCTTCTCAGGTCGAGCCTGATCCTGCTGGCGCTGCAGAAGACATCATTGTCCAAGCCCAACTGCAGGTACCTGCCTGGCCTGCAAATGGACGGGGGCCGGCACGCCACTGGGGCGGAGGGCGGTGGAGGTGGCCTGGAGATTGCCAGACACAGCTGAGCCCGACTACAGCTACCTGCCTAGCCTGTGCACAGATGGGGACCAGTGCATGGCTGGGGCGGAGGGGGTGGCCCGGACACTGCCAGGTGCGAAGCCAGTGCTGGGCCTTTGTGTTGCCTCTCGACCCCCGGAGTTGGAGGGAAGCAGGGGAACGGGGGGCCTGTCTTCCTAGGGCTCGTTGTATTCCTTCTATACAACGAGCATTGCTCCTGGTGTATATCTATATGCCCAGGTATACCACCAACCATTTGGTTCAAGGACCCATCATATGACTGGAAGGCACATGAAACAGTGAAATTGCTGAAGCCAAGCAGGTTTGGCTTTGCTCAGTACCTGGGAGGGAAACCTCCTAGGAACCTTGATCTCCATGGTGTTAGTGGGGGGGGGGGAGTACGAATGCAACCAACATCTATGGTTGCATCAGTGCAAGCACATAATGATTTGTTCCATGATGAACAGTATAGCAAAAGACAGCCTAGTGTCCATACCATCCCTGAGCACTGCTAGAGTGGGCAACGATTGTACCCATCTGTGGTGCCAGTTGTATATGTGATATATAGTCAGCAATCAGCATAATGCAGATGGAATGGGTTAGATATTCATCCAATGCAAAACCCACATACTGATTAGCACTAATGCAGATACAACTTTAGGTTGCATCTATATGCCGCTCTTTTCTAGCACAACCAGTGTGGTATACTGGAGACAATACTAGATTTGGACTAAGAAGATCATGAAACTCACTGGTTGGCCTTAGGCAAGTCATAGTCTTAGAGGCCAACTTACTTTTATTGAAAGGATGAAGCAAGATAAAATCATGTACATTATTGCCAAAAGCTGCTTGGAGGAAGGGTTGGGGATATTAATGTGCAATGCATGTGATCCCTGCAATCCATATGTTGAGATAATATAATTAAGATATAAGATATGGCACAATGTTAAAATATTACAGAAAGCCAGAGTTGTGCATTTGGATAAAGGAAATTTAGGTTGAAATCTCAACTCAACTATGACACTCAGTGGATGCTTTTGAACAAGTTATTCTTCCTGGTTTCTGTGGGATAGATTGAGATAGAATTTTTTGGAGATAAGCAGGATAATAGATGTGTGATAAATTTAAGAATGAATACCCCTATGCCTTCATCCTGTCCTAGTTTGCCATCTCTATCTATATAGTATTAGGGCAGCAACTGCAAGCCCATTGCTGAGTGCCTGCAGAATACAGCCCATGGTGAAAGTCCATGGGGCACGGAGTTAAGCATGTGCTTCAGTGTCTCCCACTGAAATCAAAGGGACTATATAGTGGCTAACTCCAGTCAGATCATGTCCTTATGTTCTATCATCAGATCATGTTCTATCCCATAGTGTATGAGGTAGTTATACATCTTCCCCCCCCACTCACTACATGTAAGCTACAGTGAAGTATGTGTTAGGGAGCTTAGGCTAAACAACACACACATCCCACACACTACTTTTCTAATGTGTAAATGCAGAGGGAATGAAAAAGTGACATGTAACCCCTTCATGCATCACAGAATAGAACCACCACAGCAGATAGCTTCTGAATCTTTTCATTAGTGTTCATTCCTATTTTAAAGATTGAAGCAGGTATCTGGTTATTTTACTCAAAGATGAGATGAAACAAAGTCCGCATAGCTGGTTTTAGAGCTAGGTAGAACTACTGATTATTTTGATTATCACAGAAAGACAGTTTAGCAACACAAAACGGTTGTTGTGTTGTTCTAAGGAAAGACAGAGGGGATGCACAATTTACCAGCTCTATAGGAAGTGCAGAGAGAGAAGATTTTAGAATGCATAACCTTCTCACTAATGAAGTGAGAAATCCCTTCCTGAAGCAGACTTCTCTGCAGCTCATGAATCTTTCCTTCCCTTCCTCGTTGACTCAGTTTGTCAAATATATTATCAGAAAGATTAGCCTAGAAATAACGGGCACAATTTCAGTGGGCCATTCATCTGCACAGTCTCTGCTGAAACTCTGTAGAGCTTCTGTTCTTTGCAATGGAAATTACGCAGGGGAATTTCATGAAGGATTATACCCAATATGTTCAGAATGAAGGCCCCAAAGTTGCAATGAATATTTATAAGTGGCTTCCAATAATTTTTCACCATTTACTTCTTTTAAATTGTCAATTTCTTTAATATTTTTAAAACAATAGTAAAAAAATTATTTTAATCTTTGACAACTGGTTTGTCTACTCATTGTGTACTAGTTTTATGGCTGTCCTGCTTGAGATCTTTCAAAAACCCATGAAGAACTCTTAACGTTGTTACTGAGAGGGTTTGGCATGGAGTCACACAGGTGACTGTCATTAAGCTGAACCAACCTCTTCAAAAGCATGTTAAACTAGTTTCTGCAGTGAGGCAACCATGGCAATTATCAAACATTCAGAGGAAAAATATATAAAGTCACTTCCCGTTCATGAGCAACTCAGGCTTACAACAGTCTCCAGTTCATTGGGAAGGTGGAATGTAAATTGGCTTGCTTATCCATTTTGCTTGCTGATGGTTGTTGATAGGGTTGCCAGTTTTTTGGCTCCAGTATCCTCTTCTCCTAATCAGAAGAACATTTCCTGGGCATCAACTACTTGGGGTGGCATTATGTAATGAGTACAACAAAATGACTGTTTTATTTTCATTGAGATCACTTGGTTGATAGTTCCAGAAGGGCCAAACTAGACACCAGGGCACCAGATTCCTGCATAAGAGCTGGGTGGCTATTTCATTTATATAAAGTGGAGAGTTGCTGGGAGGAGGAGAGGGAGAGATTTAAAGTTCAGCATGTACAAGAGGAACTGAAAGACTACTTCCACTTGGGGGGCTTAATTCTTTTTTCCCAATAAACATGTGAATCTGCCCTATACTCAGAACTTGAGTTGATGTAGGTCAACATTGTCATCTCTGACTGGTGGTGGCTCTCCAGCATCTCAGAAAGAGAATGGTCTTTCCCAATACTTGTTATCCTAGGGCCAAACTAGATGTGATGACATCTTTATGTCTGCCATGGGGACACTGCCACCATTTTAAAGTAATTTTAAAATGCTACGGAGGTCCGACCCACAATACAGGCCACTGTGATGCTAGTTTCCCCTCTCCATGCCTTATCAAATGCCAAAATGGCTGCACCCCCATGCACCAGTTTAGGCACTTGAAAAGGCACTGGTAGGGGCAAGAATACCTCAGCCCACCACACTGTGAGCCTAATCAGGATCGAGTAGTTATGGCATCTTTAAATCAGTTTAAAATCGCAGAGGAGTCCAGTGGCAGACATGAGGATGCTCTCATGTCTAGTTTAGCCCTGAGATACTTTGATTTGAGAAGCCATGGTTTGAACCTGGGGAATGCATGCAAAGCACTTGTCCTTCTGGTGAACATGAGAGTCACTTCCCCTGAGGGAAATTACCCCCTAAGGGAGAAAAATGGCTGGGAACAGACTCCAGGAGAAGAGTTCAGGTGGAGGGGGGACAGGTTAGTTCTCCTTTCCTGCTTACACAGACTGTGGTTAAAATCACCTTCATGTTGACATCTGATTTATAGGAATTTAGCACAGTCTGCATTGCATTACATTACATTGTACTAGTTTTGCCACCAGGTCTACAGCCATAAAAACCAAAGGACACCAATCCAGTCACATGTTCCAGGTAAAGAGGCTCTCTACGTTTAAACAAACCTTTCTCCCTCTTGCTGCAGGAGATCCCTATGCAGACCTAATGTTGCCAATAGGCCCGGAGGGGGAAAATACTAAAGAACAGGACAGTTTTACTCCAGGCAGTTGGCAGCCCTATGATCTGAGTAAATGTTGCAAAGAAGTGCTGCATAATTTCTTCTATGTTGAAGTTTTCTATTATGAGCATATTTCAGTTCCTTTTGTTTAAGAGACTTGTAATCCATCTTGAGTCTAATTGAGAAAGGCAGGGATAAATTAAATCAATAAATAAGCCAAGCAGAGTTACACCCATCTATGTCCATTGAATTCTATGAGCTTAGAACTCTATGGGTGCGTTCAGATGGGGCGTTTCAGCCGGCATAAACTGTACCGGTTGGAACCAGTGCAGTTTATGCCAGCTGAAACGCGATCACACTTACCTCCTGTCTGCGGAGCCCATCGCTGTATGCCCGTTCACACACAGCGGGCGTTGGCGTTTTTTTTTTTAACACAGTTTGCACATGCGCATAGGCAGCCATCCACAGAATGGCGATCTTCACGCATGCGCAAAACACCCCGTCTTACATTTAAAGTTTAAAGGTAAGGACTTACCTTTAAAGTTTAAAGAGCAAAGTGGCCTCCCTGAGGTCCTGGACTCCTCTAAAAGTTAAACTAAGGACCTTTTCTTTTCTTTTTAAACAAATGCCGAGGCGAAGCTTCGCCCAAGCGCATATCGCCGACCTAAAAAAAATGGTGGGCGAAAATCGGAAGCCTCGGGCTTCCGAACGGAAGTGGCTCTACAACGTTGGAGAGCGATCAGATGGGGGTTAAAGCGATTACAACCGTTGCACTCAGGATACCACCACTTGGGGACCTAGTGGCAGAATACAATGGTTTAAAGGTCTTTGCAATGGTTAGGGACGGAAGGCAGATGTTCGCTGTGTGAATGCCAGTAAGTACACCGATTCCAACCGGCACCTATACCGTTGGAAATGCCCCGTCTGAACGCACCCTATAGCTGTCACCTGGATGGCCAAGTTTAGTCTGATCTAATCACATCTAGGATTGCCTGCAGGGTTGGCCCTGGTTGGTATGTGGATGGGAGACCACCAAGGAAGTTCAGGGTTGTTATGAAGAAGCAGGCAATGGCAAGCCACCTCTGTTGTATGGGGTCACCAGACGTCGGCTGTGATTTGATGGCACTTCTCACCACTAGAAGCCTGTGACTCTGCTTAGCACTGCATTCTAAGTTAAACACCAAACATTTTCCAGTACTAGTAGATTTTGATTAAAAAAAAATTGGGAGCATGACTGACTGGACTTTTATTGTAATTTTTTTCAGCTTTATAAAAATGTTTATCACTGCCTAGTTATGAAAAATGGCCACCTGTATGGCCTCTGATTTTTGCAATTTGAAATTAAAGGGAGGCTTAATGCTACTATGTATTCTGTTTTATCCCTAGGGCTTGGTTCCCAAATCAATGGCAGTTACAGAAAATACAACTCAGTTGTTGATCTGAGGCCAAAGGCATTTGAAGATGACTACTTGGCTGATGATGAGATTCCACCACCACCATCAGTTCCTCCTCCTCCACCACCACCACCGCCGCCATCTTCAATTGACCAATCACCACCTCCAACTTCAGTGGAAGCTCCATTACTACCTTTGATGGAAGTTCCACCTCCACCCCCAGTGCCTCCTCCTCCACCCCCACCAGCGGTATCAACTCCATCTCTTTCATCCCTGGCTCCACCCTCATACCCATATTCTAATTTGTCTTCTCCTACCACTCCATCTCCACCAGACTTCATCCCTCCTCCTCCTCCTCCTCTGGCTTTTATGGATGGTCCAGCCCCTCCTACAACTCCCTTTTCACAACCACTTCATACCCCACCTTTCTCAAATGGTGTCTCCAAATGGAAATCTGAGACTGTTCTAAACCTGAGGGAGCCAGAAGATGGCTCTCACAATCCAAATGTGACTGTTCTACCCAGCCCTACCCAGAAGGAGAAAGAAGTGCCCCAAACCAGCCCAGATCCTCATCAAACCTTCCCCAGGTCATTTAAAATACCTCCTCCAACCCCTGTGAGAACATCATCTATTTCCTCAGGAGACAAAGAATCAAGCCCGAGAGATGAGCAGGCCTCTAATATGGTTCCTCACAGCCGACCTGCACTGTTACCTAACTTTATAGTACGGTCTGCAGCTGCAGTTTACTTAGAGGCAGAAGCTGGAGAGAAAGTTCCTTTGGAAAAACGAATAATAGAAAAACCTTCTGTATTCATTACAGAGTCTGGGAGTCCAAAACCAACACCAGAGTTCAATGGCTCTTCTACCTCACCATTGAAGTGTGAAGTACCAAAAGAGTTGGTGCCACAACAGGCAATACTGAAGGAGCATTCTCAGAAAACAGTGACTCAACATGCAGAAGAACCACAACTTCCTTCTCCTGATTGGGCATCCTCTGATGATGAAGACTGGAAGGAACGCGGCAACCTGGACAAGCTAAAGCATGAACTGTCAGCTCTGTTGTCATCTTCCTATAGAAAGGAAGACAGACTGCTGGAGAAAGCTGTAGTCCCCAAAAGTAAAAGCAGTATTACTGATAGTAACCGGATAACTTCAGAAGAATTGAAACAAGCTAAGCCTATCATGACTAGTCCACAATCGCCAGCAGGGACAGACACTGAGAGAAGAGAAAAGATATCAGGTGAAGCACAATCTGCTGGCAAAGTTTTGACCAATAACATTAACTCAAATCCAGATAATAAGTCTACCAGCATGCAAGCAAATTGTGTTCTGAAATTCAAAAATGAATTGGAAGCTTTGTTGTCTCCAGCCAAGGATGGGGGGCCACCCTTGGCTCTTGCTAACCTGAGGCACAATCCAGAACCAAAGAAACAAATTACTCTTCAGTTTGGTGGTGGCGAGTCCAAGATTCCAAAACCCACAGTAATTCAAAATACACCTATATCTGAAGTGACAGGAAAAGAGCCCAAGATCCCTAGTGCCCCTACTAACAACTCCCCATCCGGAAACATTTGTAAGCCCCCAGCATCCCCTCTGAAACCCAAGCCTGAACTCTTGGTTTCAGCTGCACCTTCACCAGCCTCTTCTGGAACTGCCTCACCAGTTCGATCTCCCAGCACAGTCCTTTCTCACCTACAGTACAAAACACACAGGACAAGATTTGCCTCCACTGATAGCCTACCTTCTGTGACATCTTCTCAAACTGCAGAAGATGGGCCAATCACCACAAATAATAATGAAAATCAAAGAGACTCAGTTAAACGCAGGTTCTCAGAGACACCCACAATCATCAGGAGCGCACAGCAATCAAATAGCGATGCTTTAATCCATCCTGTAACAGGAGAGGCAGTCGAAAGAGGCTCTCCAATGGCTCTTCTCTTGGCTGCACAACAGCGGGCTCAAAGAGGCAGGTGTTCTGCCTCAGCCTCACGACAAAACAGTTCTTTATCTGAGAGGCCTCTGTTCAAGTTATCAGAAAAGCTGCGCAACAGCAGCCAATCAGAGACTATGTCATCCACCATTTTCTACAATGATACCAAGCCTAACACTGTCAAGGTTGTTCCAAAGGGTCTGCAGAGGGAATCCCTTGCAGCATCAGAAAGTAAGCAACCTAATGGGGTAAGTCCATCTGATAACGAAGTCTGGGGCTTGTCCAACTTAGGGCAGAAAGAGCATAAGTCACAGTTGCTCTCCAGCACCTCAGAACAATTCAGGGATTCATACAGACTCAGGGAGAGTGAATCTCAGAATCTTCCTCCATCAAATAAAGGTGGTTCCATTTTGATTCCAGGCTGCTTGGAGTCCAGGCAGTTGAAGCAACAGGGCTCTTCCAGCATGTCTGATACCCACCTCTGCTCTCATACTAACCCTCAAATCCACGCTAGTAACAATGGGGCAGAAGAAGGCTTCAGTTATGAGATCATTCCACCCCCACCAGAGTTCAGCAATGATGACAGTGGAGGCACACATGTTTCTTCAAGGGTCGGAGAAAAGCCCAGACACTTCAGCACCTCAGCAGATGATCAAGTCTCAGCTGAGCAAGTTCATTTCAATAATTCAAGCTATAGCTATGGCAACAGTTATACCCCGATATCAAAACCTGCTATAGAAAGCAGTGAGATGCCTAGTGGATACAGTCACCCTTACTCAGGTGGAAGTTACCCTGCTGGCTACCTCAGTAGTTACTCCAACAGCCGCCCTCTGATTAAGAAGCGCCTCTATGTTTCAGAGCCTGATGGATCCTATGACAGGCCAGCTGTTTCCACTCGCGGCATAAACACACCCAGTTCCTACAGCCACAATACAGTGTCATACAATTCCCAGTTTATGGAAGGGATACGGCGGAATTCTACTCACAGGAACAGCAATGCACAGGCGAGGAGGATGTCCTTGGAAGTACCTGGGAAAATGGTGACTTATAATAATGCTGCCAGTGATGCTATGTATAAAGGGCAGAATGCAGAGTATTCCACCAGTACTAGCAGGTATGTTACACTTATCATAAATACAAACATTGTGAGTTGGGAACAGCTGGGAAATGCTGCTGGTTAAATGTAAGCAACAGGCACCATGCTTTCTGCTGTCTGATAAGCAGAGGGACTTTTCTACCCTCTAAATGACAGTGGGACCATTCTGACTATTTTGTTGGGGTCCAAGTCTATTTCACACAGTGTTCTGTCTCTGATTGTTGCAATCCATAATGTCCCAAGGAAACAGAACTACTCTGGACGTATCGATAGGCCAGGAACAAGTGCACACACCACCAGATGGATTCTTTCTTTTATGTAGTTTATAATCTGGTGAACAGACACGGACTCTTGGAAGAAGTTAGCAGAAGTGACTTCCACGCAAGCTTTTGTCTAGTAGTTTTTCCTCTTAAATATGCCACCTTGCATTAAGTGCAAACTGAAGTACAGTTTTTTTTCCTGCTTCCTTCTCACCCACCAGCCAACCAACCTTTATTTGCCCCCACTCAACTTCAGCTGTCCCTCCTTCCCTCCCTCTGGCAGCCTCTGCCCAGGAAAGCTATGGCCTAGTTGTGCAGTGCCAGCCACCAGGCTGAGCCCAGTTGCGGGTAGCACCTCACATTCCCCTGTATCCCCCCTCCCTCCACTATTTCCTTTTTTCTTCCTCCCGGCATTCTACATATCCTCATCTTTCCCTGCTCTTTATCTGCCCCTCTTCAGCTGTATTTATTATTTATTTAGTTCAACTATACTCTGTAGGGTTGCCAAGTGAAAAGAATTGCCGCAGTGGGGGACTCCCGGCTTGCGGCTTGAGCGCGCGCGCCACATGCACATCACCATGCACATTACCAGGAAGTGACGTGACGACGCCGGGCATGCTGGGGGCGGGACCACGACCATCCGAGGGGAAACTCTATGGTTTTCCCTCGGACAGTCGTGGCCCCGCCCCCAGTGTGCCCGGTGTCGTCACGTCACTTCCTGGTGACGTGCATGCGGGGGTGGGGTTCCCCCTGGGGCCCGATCCGCCGACGGCGGGGAACGGGCCTCTGGGGCGGGGGTTTCCCCGTCCCCTGGGGGGACTTGGCAAGCCTAATACTCTGCATTTCTCCACAACAGGGACCCAAAGCAGTTAACATCATTCTCCTGTCCTCCATTTTATCCTCACAACAACCCTCTGAGATGATTAGGATGAGAATGTGTGGCTGGCCCAAGATCATCCAATGGGCTTCCATAGTAGAATGGGGATTCAAACCTGGTTCTCCTAGATCCTAGTTGGAAACTCTAATCACTATACTATACTACCTTTTGTGTGGTGGCTGCTGTTGATCAGTAGCAAGCACTCAGGACTAGGTGAGTCACTGTGTAGTAACAAGTCACCTGGTAGTTGCTAGTGAACCTGGCCCTGACGAGTTCTCACTCAAAGTCCAGAACAACCCTGGAAAGGGCCCTGCCCCTCCCTCTGCCTTTTACTGACAGAAACCAAGGCTTGAAGGCTTGCTATACTGCTGTGGGTGCCTAGCAGCCCCCACAATGACCACTAAGAGGGCATTCATTTCTTAAAATTACAAGTACCATTTCTATTATTTGGGGGGGAGAGATAACCCCCAAAAGATTTCTCAGGTTTGTTGAAAAATCTGTGATGTTAGTCCATGGTTCAAATCTTGGGATTTAATAACCCACAGATGGTGCCATTTTGAGAATTAGATATATTGATCTCTCTCTCTCTCTCTCTCTCTCTCACACACACACACACACACACACACTTGCTTCACAGGCTTTGTAACTGAATTGCACAAACAACGGTTTCCATTCATTTGATTGTATTTTTTTTGTATTTGTTCCCCCCCTCAGACCTTCCCATGGAAATCTACAGTATGGTGGGACTGCAAATACATTTACTGTCAGGCCTGGAACAAGACAGCCCATTTCTTACACATATCAAGGAGGTCTTCGATAATAAGTAAACTGTCGTTTCACACGCAGCTTGGACAATGCATCGCAGCACTCTTCTTCTAAGTTTTGCTGGGGCTCTTCCTCAGATAGTACTTTAGGGAGACACAAGACCCTGCAAAGAGGTTGTCCTAGCACCTTCTTGTCAATAGAATTGTTGTAAGTTATTAGGGCCAAGGGTAAGTCTTTTGAACTGATAGCCTGCTTGTAAAGTCTTCTATGCATTATGAGTACCAATGCAAGTGACAGCATGCAATGATTCAGCAACACTTGCTTAATTTATATGCTTTAAGCAATTAGATCACTCCCTTGTGTCTACGACTAGTTAACAGGTGACTTACCAGTATGAAACATACTTTCCTGTACCGCCTTCGTGAATCTGCTTCAGTCATGGCAAAAAAGGAAGCTAGGACACCCTAATCTCAAGCAAGGGACAGACAAAAGGGGGTCCATGGTATGAGCCTATAGTCCAGGGGTCAGGATAAGATGGACAGTTGAGGAGCAGTAGCCAATTAAAACACAGAACTGAACTCTGAAACATCCCACTGTGTAAAATCTGAAAGCACAGCTATGGGAATGGAGACGGGATCAGGTACAAATCAGGCAGAATGGCTGAAGGGGACAAGGGTTGCCTATAGTTTTGGACACTTGAGTTTTTAAACTGCTGAATTATAAGAAATTTAGCAGCTGAAACCTGGTTGCATAGGCCAAGACTTGGAAAATTTCCTCTGGTTCTAGAGACCAGGCCAAAAATCCGGGAGCCATGCTAATATTCCAGTCTTCAGCATTATGTATGACCATATGTTCTAATTATTGCTACCACAAAAATACTAAGTGCCACAATGAAATTTCTTGGTGCCATGGTGATCTGGTGCCTAGGACTTGTCAAGCCCTGGTACAATCAAGCCCGAAAAAATCTGCTTGTTGAATTTGTGCTTGTTACATAACTGTTAGAGGTATAAGAACCCAGACAGAGGCCACCCTAGGAGAGGTTGAACCAACTGGTCCTGGACCTATTGGGAAAGAGGGCT